TGTAGCTTACACTTTAACATCCTAACGTTTCAGGTGGAACACAAGCAGGGGGAGTGGAAGAGGGAGAAGCAGGCTCCCCGCAGAGCGGGGAGCCCGATGTGGGGCTCGATCCCAGGGCCCTGGGATCATGACGCGAGCCGAAGGCAGACGCTTAACTGACTAAGCCACCCAGGCGCCCCTTGTGGGAGGTTTTTAAATCAGTGCTTCAAATCAGGGCGTTCCCTCTTGTGTACTCTATCGTTTGCCCCACGCTTATCGTGTTGGAGGTGTGACTTCCCCATGGCAGACACTCCAGACTTTTCCCTTTTCTGGGCAGGTCTGAACTCCATCCTTTTTGCAATCAACATCGACAACAAGGATTTGAATGGGCAGAGTAAGTTTACTCCTACCGTCTCAGACCTCTTAAAGGAGTCCACGCAGAATGTGACGTCCCTGCTGAAGGAATCCACGCAGGGAGTGAGCAGCCTTTTCAGGGAGATCACAGCATCGTCTGCCGTCTCTATCCTCATCAAACCTGAGCAGGACACCGACCCCCTGCCCGTTGTGTCCAAGCATGTCAGTGCTGGTGAGCGAGAATGGGCATGGGAGTTTGAACAGAGGGGTCGGGTCAAAGGACGGCTGACCGTGGCTGAGGGGGACGCACCTCGTGGTCCGAAAGTGCCAAGGGAAATCCCATGCACTTGCGCTTTCAGTTTGCATTTGTGTTTATTTTTCTTCCCCTTACTCGCTCTGAGAGGGACTGAGAGCCTTGCTGAGATGTGAAGACGATAGGGTGGGAGCGCACTCAGCTCACTGACAGCACGATGACTGTGACACGAAGCCAGATGAGCTTCATCTTCATTCATTTATTCCTTCATCCATTCATTCATGTGTTCATTTACTGCATTCTGTTGTGCTAGGCAGTGAACTAGGAAGATCTCTAGCATTTAGCCTGCAGTCTCTTTTGGGTTGGGTAAGAATAGATGTTTAATGACAAATTATACAAGTAAGTAATTATCCTTCTGATAAATGAGATGCAAGCCAAGCATGGGGTGCTATGAAGAAGGTGCACTCTTGGGGGGAGTGACATTTAAGTGGAGGCCAAGGGGAAGGGAGGAGTTGTCAGCTTTGACTCCCTAGGCTGGGGAGGCCAAAAAAAGTTGATTTAATTGAGATCCATTTTGTGAGAACTTTGTAATATGCCTTGAGCCTTCTGGAACATCCAGAATGTTGCTACAGCAAAAGTGGAAATTTTGGGATTAAGTACGTAGTGCTAGTATTCTCAAATCCCTTTAACAAGACAGTAATCATGGTCATCTCTTCGGTATTATTAGTGATGGTGAAAACTCAGAATCTTGTGGGGTCTTTGATATACGTTGGCTTTATCTGTCTTGTCCTCTCCTTCTCCAGTAGAGACCCCAGGCGAAGGACACAGGAAAGAGGACTGTTGAGGGTTTTGTGTAACAAAGATGCTGGAATTTGTATATCCAAGGAGTGTCCCTTTCACTGCTTTTGACACTCTCTCAGAGTTTGATATACTGGTGAAGCATCACCCTGTCACAGCTTGGCTTGAGTGGAATGGAATGTCTGGAATCAGCTCAAAGTGTCTCACACCCAAGTTTGACGATTAAAATGGGTGAACATACTGGTCACCAAGGCAGCCTTGATTTCTGTTTCAGTTAGTATTTACTGTGTAACAAACAGCTCCAAAATGTAGTGGCTTGAAACAGCTACAATTTATTATTATTATTTTTTACCAGCCTCTGGTTTGGCAAGATGGCTCTGCTGATTTCACCCGGGCCCCCTCGTGGGGCTGCCCTGAGCTGGTGGCTGAGCTGGAAGATCTAAGGTGGTCCCACTTATGTGCCTGGAAATAGTGCTCACTGTTGGCTGGCGCATCTGTTTGTCCACACATGGCGTCTCATGCTCTAATGAGCTAGACTGGCTTCCTTCCCTGGGAGTTTCAGGGCAGCGTTCCAGGGGCGTACAACACCTCCTGATGCCTGGGCTCTGGAACTCGTTATCTGTGCTGCATGCTGTTGGTGAAATCCGAGCACTGAGCCAGCCCACGCCCCAGGGGGTGGAGAAGGATATGCTACCCTCAATGGGAACAGTAGTGAAGTCCCATTGCAGACAGGGATGAATTGTGGCTGCTGAGCCATTGTCCACCACCCCAAACTTGTGTCCTTGGTTTCATCAATCAGCCAGGAGAGTATTTTCCAAAGTGAAAGTCATTTCTGGAATGGGAGCTTCCCCTGAATCAAAGTGCTTACAAGGGACGATTGTTAGGTATGCTCTGTGGCATGTTGGTTTAAATCAGAAGTAGAGCCCCACATTCATTTTGCTCAGTGTCCTATAGACAGATTTTTTTTTTTACCCCAAGGATTAAAAAAAAAATCTGAATTTATCTTGTTTATTTTTCCGAAGAATAGTAGAGGATTTTCCACAGTCTAGAGGTAAAATGGCTCAGTCATGGCTTTGTCTTGCCTGCCGCTTCTTCTAACACCGTATCTTCTTTTGCCAGATGCCAGATGTAAAAAGGAGCGGAAGAAGAAAAAGAAGGTGACCAACATTATCTCTTTTGATGATGAGGAAGAATGGCAGAACTCTGGCGATGTTTTTAAAAAGATCCCCGGGGCAGGGGAGAGCTCAGAGGAGAACTCCGACCGCTCCTCCATCAATATCATGTCGGCCTTTGAAAGCCCCTTTGGGCCAAATTCCAACGGAAGTCAGAGCAGCAGCTCATGGAAAATTGATTCTCTGTCCTTGAATGGGGAGTTTGGGTACCAGAAGCTCGATGTGAAAAGCATTGACGATGAAGACGTGGATGACAACGAGGATGATGTGTACGGGAACGTGTTGGGAAGGAAATGCCTGGGCCATTCGGGGTCACCTGAGAAGTAAGTGTCACTTGAGCTCTTAATGAAGGGTGGTGCATTAATGGCTTCCTCTTTCTGCAGCATTGGGTGAAATCCGAGCGCACGGTTTATATGTGTGTAGGGCATCATTCGCTTTTCTGATCTTGATCGAAGAGGAAGGAGCATGAGCTTACTGTCCTTCTGAGAATGAACAGAAGGGAAGGGAGTATATTTGAAGGTACTTATTATAAGGTTGGTGTCAAGATGTGTACCTTGAAATTCCTGCTTTATGTATGTGTTTTTGTTTTTGTTGGATATTCCTTGTGTCTTTGCCTTGCTCCTAGCACAGGAAGCTCCGGAGAGAGGCAGGGTTATTCTAGCAAAGAGTCGCCCACTGGCAGTTTCTGTGTTTATCTACTGGGGTGTGAACAGCAGGAATTCGCCTGTCTTGCCACTTTAACGGTGGTGGTGCAGTAGATGTGTGTTTATGGAAGGGCCTTGATGCACAAGAAGGCCGAAAGCGGTAAAGCATAGTTAAGAGTGTGGATCTTGGAATCAAGACAGCCTGGGTTCTTGCTTACTAGCTACATGGCTTAGGTTGGACAAGTTTACCCCCCAGAACCTCATCGGAGACCTGGGAGAAAAACAGCACCTGCTTTTCGGAGTCATTGTTGAATTAATGGGATACTGTGCGTTGGCCTTTGGCAGCAAGAAAGAGCCCAGGTCAGCCGCTGCCCTTGCTGCTCTGTAAGAATTCCTGTGTTTGGTCTTATCGGAATGCCAGATGAACTGGCTGCGTCTTTGCTTGGGCCTTGCAGTGCCCAGTGCTATCTGTCGCGGCCGGCTTCAGGCCGGCTCAAACCAGCCCAAGACCCCGAGGCGGGATGCGGGGCTTGGTGTCTTTGGCCCTAAGCTTCTCATGTCCCATGTGTTCTGATAGGAGTCTTCTTTCTCATGAGACAATGCCTGTTTCTGATTTCTGCTGTTGTCCTCATTCACACGGGTACTTGTATTGGCAGCATGACCTTGTTGATCTTCTGTGGCAGGCCGGGCCGGCGGGTTCCGCGTGTACCCGTCGCAATAGTAGGAGATGCCCTGGGAGGTTTTAGTGGGCATCGCCCTGTCTTCAAGGATTTGGAAGAACGGGATTCCTCGGAGAGCGGAGATTTGTCCGAGCACTGAGCGAAGCAGGGATTAAGGGTAGGTTGTGCTGTGCTCCCAGGCTTTTGCTGTCAGATAGTCCCCATGTTTCTGCATAATTAGGACTTTTGGTTGGTTGACAGATCAACACGTCACGATTTGTTGATGTTGCCCCCTGTGGTCAGTATTGAGCTCGTTGGCTTTTGCTGTTCT